TAGCCATTATCTCTATTTAAATTGTTAGGGTGTTTTTGTATCTCTATGGCTTCTCTATACTTTCTTGGAAAGTATGATGTACTGGCTATTGTGGTCGTTTTGTCAAACAGTATTTGATGTCCTTTTTCGATGTTGTGTTCTGATAATGCCGACTGCGTGGTGTGTTTTAGTCTGACATTACGTTGGTGTTCTTTGATCCGTAGGTTGACCATTCTCCCGGTTTCTCCAATGTATACTTTCCCGCAGGAACAAGGTATTTTGTATACTCTTGCAGAACTGAATGGAGGTCTTTGATCTTTAGGATTTCTTAAGATTTGTCCTATCTTTTTGGGTGGTTTGAAGATAGCTCGGATATTGTATTTGTTTAATATCCTGCCAATCCGATCTGTTCCTTTGACGTATGGGGAGAATGGTTGGGATCCTTTCATCTGGTTGTGTCAGAGACCGTTGTCTTGTTTGCATGTTTATTGATTATTTTGGTTATGTCTTTTTTGTCGTGTCCGTTTTTCTGTAAGGCTACTTTGAGGTGGTTGAGTTCTATCTGTAGATGTTCTTTGTCAGAGATGGTGAAAGCTCTATGTACTAGTGAGTTGATTGCTGACTGTTTTTGTGCTGGGTGGTGGTGCATAGATATCTACTCGGCATGTAGATATCTATCTGTGTGTGTTGGTTTTCTGTACACTTGATGGCCTAAGGTACCGTCAGCTTTCTTAGAGACAAGAACATCTAGGAAAGGGAGTTTTCCGTTTTCCTCTATGTCTATAGTGAAGTGATATTTGGATGTTGTTTGTTGAGGAAAATAAGGAATTTTTGTAGTTCGGCTCTGCCGTGTCTCCATACCACGAATGTGTCGTCTACATAATGGAACCAAACTTCCAGGTTTTTTCTGAAGGCCTCTTTCTCAAAATGCTCCATGAAGATGTTAGCGATTACAGGAGAAATAGGATAGCCCATCGCCTTCATGATGTGTATTCTGGAATAAGATATTAATCAATAATAATACTCATATAAGAATCATTTTGTCTTGATTGTGGTCTAAAATTTGTTTAATGAATTAATTTAATCCAGTTTTAATCCATTGCGTCCTAAAATGGTCGTTTTTAAGAAGTCCAAAATGGTAACACTGGATGTCTTTAAAATATTTTTAAAATATTCATGGATCTAATCTAGATGTTTTTAATATGTCCAAAACGTCCAACATGTACATTTTAAATATATTTTTAAAACGTTACTGTGCTGTCTGGGTTATTAGCATCTCAGATTGTTTGTGATTAAAAGTTTGAACGTTTCGGCATACAGTCACATCTGAGACAAATTTACTTTCATATATATGGGAATGACCGAACGTTTCGATTCGCGATTATATCTTAAAATTTATAAATCAGGAATATTGTATTATTCGGAACATCTAACTTTGACTGATCATTAGTGCTCTCTATCGTACGTATGTTGTACATTTTACATGATTGGATCTTACTTCTTACTAGTTATACTTTAACCTCCAATCTAGTGCC